GTAAAGGAGCATCATGTGTGCAGTTTGCTTTCAAATGGTAAAAAAGTTATATATATATCAGAGAGAAAATGACTAAGCAACTGTGGTAAAATGCAAACCATTGGGGAGTCTGGATGAAGGGTCTTGGGGATTCTTCAATATTTTTTGTGTCTTGTTTTCTTCTCCTGTAAAAGGAGAATGTTCTGTCCTTCACAGAGTCGCTGTGAAGATTCATGAGGGGACATTGGCAAGGCACACCATGCTCTATGCGTAGCATGCACTCTGAAAAGTCAGTGAACCTTCATCTCAAAAGTAAAAGCCAAGTTGAGTTCATTTTGCAGTATATTCTCTAGCAGAGTACTTTGCTTGAAGACAGGCTCGCTAAATGTCTGGAAAGTATAATATGCCAATTCACACCACTCAGTAGTTCTAATTTGAATCCTGTGTGCTTTGCCCCCTTGCTCCCATTTCTTTCACTGAACCTTTTATTCCCAGAACAATTTTCTTAATTTTAGTCCCCTTGCCAGCTGCCTCCTGTCCTGAAATTTCACTTGCAGTCTCATTGAAGCTGATTGATGACAAGAGAACCAAAGACACCACCTAACCCAGTTCTGAAGTGAATGATACACCTTTGAAGGAGCTAAATGACTGAGCCTGTCAAAATAACCTGTCCCCTTGTGGAGAGCTTCACAAAAAGTAATTAAAGTACTTAAAGGAGTGAGAAAAATGAGATTTACCCCCGCCCCCTCCAAAAAAAACCCCTTGATTGCAGATTGACAGTTATTTAACACAGTTCAGTAACTAACCCGTAATGACCCAGCTTGACCTGAGGCACGCCCCCCCCCCTTTTCATTTGTAGAGCACCCAGGCCACTGTCAGGCCCAAAGACTCGAAGTTGGTGGTACCCCACCCCTAGGGGTGTGGAGCCTCCATTGGGCCGGATTCGGGTGCTGGAGTGGAAACAATTTGATCGTTCAGGACAAGTGGTGAGTCCAACTTCATCTTGGACTTAGCGGTGCTGCGGTAAACCCCGAAGGTGTGACTCCTTTGCCTCACACCTTAAGTCAGCTCAATATCAAAGACACCAGGGTGAGAAAATGGGTGCGTGCAGTTGCCCAATCACAAGGATCTGCTGGATTTTGCCTGAGGCACGGGAGGCACGGGAATGTGAAAAATAAGGGTGTGGGCGAGTGTTGGGTTCAGCTGCAGGGCAGTGATCTGAGACGCAGGGCCACTCTCTGGAGCCCACTCTCAGGCAGGCCTGGGGAGTGTGGGGTGAAGACGACAGAGATGGTGGGATCCTGGGGTACAGGGACCGGCTTGAATTCATCTTCGTCCTCCGGAGTCAAGCTCGGTGCAGTGCTCAGGGGCTGGCAAGGCCTCAGTAGAGAACTAGGAGTCCGCCCCACGCAGAACAGATCGCCAAGCCGCACCCCGACGCAGCAGCGGGGGTTCGGTATGGGTACGAATCTGTAGACTTGATCTGAGGAAAGGCGGGGGCCGGGCTGGGCTGGCCTGGGACTCGGAGGTGGTGTCAGCGCTCAGCGGACGCGAAGCACCAACACCCGGCAACCTCTGCGACAGAGGCGCGAGGCGGGGACCAGGTGGGCCATCCCGCGCTCCTCATTGGACAAAAGCCCTTGTCAATCACTGAGGAAACGCGACTGTACGGGACCGGACATCCGGTACGTCCCATTTTGGAGCGTGGAGCTCGGAGGGGAGCGGGGAGGGCAACGATGGGTCCTTGGAAAGTGATGGGTCCAATGTGCAGACCTGTGGTTTGTGCCTGTGCGTTTCTCTTTCGTATGTAAAGTAGAAGATTAGTTACCGCGTAAATGAAATTGTACTGCGGGAGACGTCTTTTTTGCAATTAGTGTTTTGGCTTTCGGCTAAGGCTCCTGATTTTGGTAGGCTTTTCCTGGAATTACCTAGATTCTCTGGTTTCGTCAGTGAGGCTCCCCCTTATGCAGGATCCGGGTTGCCCCGGAAATGGTCGCCAAAAGTAATCAAAGTGTACGCTATTAGGTGCGCTAAAGCTTAGATTGAATGATGGTAGTCAATAGAAAACAGGAAGAAACAGAAACGGACAGTTTACAGGGGAAAAAAAATGTAAGGCGCCCTTAAACATTTGAATGGATGCCCAACCTTTTTCATGATAAGAAAAAGCAAATTAAAACTTCACTGAGCTAACATTTCTGACATCAGATTGGTAAAGATCCGGTTTGACAAGTTGCTCCGTTAAGGTCAGTGCAGAAACTGGAGCTCTCATACGTTGCTGGTGGATTGCAAATTGGTATAACCTGGGGTGGGATGGGGACGTAATACCCAACAACATGTGCGTTTACCTTTGACCCAGCAATCCATTTCCTCAAAATACTCCTCCACAAATAGGAAACAACAGGTGCACAAAGCTTTATTCAGAGTGGTAGTATTCGAATTAGCAAAAGATTGGAAACAGTGCAAATGCCCCTTACTAGGAGAATGGCTTATAAACTGGGGCACATCAACAATATATGAATATAGTATTACGTGGTATTATACAGCAGACTTCGCAGCATTAAAAAGAAAGAGGAAGCCAGCGGTATTGTGTATGGCGTGATCTCTAGAGACGTTGTATATGGGCTGCTACCTTTAGCAAAAAGAAATGCTGAAAGGCCAAAACCAAAACGAATAAAAATGGTTTCCTCATAAGGAGTAGAGGTGGTAGTGGTGGAGAACATGGTGAAAACCTTAGAGGGGAAACTAGAATAAAAATAAAGTGATGGCAATAATAATAGGTAAAAGAAAACAAAAGACTGCAACACAAAACAAAAATTGGTGACACTGGGAATTTGCCCAGCTTGGTCGTTGTGCTCTGAGGATCCAGTGCTAGACCCTTGGAAGGACAGGCTTGCTTGGCTGGGTGGGCCTCAAGTTATTTATAATGGGGCCATGGTGTTGACTGGGCTAAGGATTTTTGGCACCCTGCCTCTCTCCAGGGTTCCTCGAGGAGGTGAGGGGAGAAAGGAAATGACTTTTACCTGCTTCAGGGTAATATACGATAAGTAGAGCCTGGCTCCTAGAGAGGACGGTGGGGCCAGATGGGTGACTGTGGATCTCTGCCATGCCAGGCAGTCCTGCAGTGGTGGCTTAGATAGAGGCCGTGCCTGTTCCACATACGTGACACTGGCCTTCAGAAGGCATGAGGCCTGCTCCATCTGGACCTAGCTTACACTTGAGGTCTTCCAGGCCCAGACAGCTGCCCAGAAGATAATCTTAGGCTTTGTCAAAATAGGAGGTCCTTTGGTCAAACATATGTTCTTATAATCAAATTGGGAAGAACAAAATAACCTCACAGCCATCTGTTCTTAGAAAAACTATTTACATTTTCAGATTTAAAAAAAAAAAAGGAAAACAAGTCCAAATCATCCAACGAGTAGGGAATAAAGAGCTTGTGCGGAGTTCACAGCAAGCTTACCCTCCGTTTTTGGCTACTCTAAAAGCTGCTTAGATTGCACCTTTTCTTCCCCATGGCTGCTGGGCAAGGCGACTGCTTTGAGGACAAGAAGTGGGGAGACACCTAATTTTGTCCAGATGGTGGCTGTTACAAAGACACGGAGGGAAGGAAGCCCTGAAATGTCTAGCAGGGAGTTTGGTGGACAGAAATGAACTGTGTGTGGGCATGGTTTTTAACCCCCTGTAGGTGTGATGGGTGACAGCCGCTGCTATCTGGGTGAGCGCCTCGGCAGTAAGGCTCCATAGTAGGGTGGTGTTCGGACTCCCTGGGGAGGGGCTGAGAGGCTCTAAGACTGGTTCTCGTCACTGGGTAGAGACTGAGCCCCTGAAAGTCTCTAAACGCCCCAGACCTGGACAAGTTCCATTCTGATTGGCTTCTGTCGGCCTGTCTGGGCCCTGTGTGGCTGTGACACACTGACGGTGGCCTGCCTTGTGGAAATCTTCCATATTTGCTCTCTCTCTTGCCTGCCATTTCTTTCTCCCTTACCTTATGCCTTTTGGTGGCCCTAAGGGTACTGATTTTTATTCTTTCTGACACTTGTGAACAAACAGGGTGTTTCCTCTTGGTTTGCAGGGTGGGACGTTATCTTATGATTGTGTGCTGGTTCTTGGCATCGACTCCAGGAAACTCCTAAGAACAGGTACAGTTTTTTTAAGGCACTTTGATTTTCCTGACCTGTAGCAATATTGATATCTGGGGGGGACATAGAGGTGGCAGTTTGAAATGAGTTTTAAGAGGGTTCTTCCAGCCACAAATGGGCTCAAGGATGTCTCAGTGAGGCAGGTGACAGAAATGGTATAAACAGAAGCAGGTGCTTATCCAGAAATGGCAACAGAGCACCTAACAGTCGCAGGGAGTCAGCAGTGCTTCCTTGAAGCATCAGCGGCCCAAGAATAGGAGTGTCGAGTATGCCGGGCACTTCAGACACTGGCTTACAAGTTCCTGCCGGGTGACAGAGTGGTCCTGGTGTTTACCCAATACCTACCCATCCCTGCCTCTTCCTCACAGAGCGCCAACAGGGTCCAGCTACCTCCTCTGATTGGCCATGTATTCAGGTGACCTGGCCCCAGCCCCAAGGCGTCTCAGCCAACCATGGTTGTCCCATCTCCTTGCTAGTGATGGGTCGAAGCATGGACACATGACTATCCTGGCCAACTGGGATCTGAAGGAAGGCGGAGAGGGGATCTGGACCAGTTCCCTCATTCCTAGAGACATGTGCAAGAGATGATGCTTTTGGACATGACACCTGAACTGCTGTCATTTTGCAGCCATGAAGAGAGCTAGTCTGCGACAAGAGCCTGCAATGCGAGGAAGACTGAGCTGAGAACATTGCAGCCTGGGCCCGGACAGTTCCAGGCCTGCAGCTGTTCTGCCTTGGGCTCCTCGTGTGACCTAGCTCTCCTCTTGTTTAAGACAGTTGATTTGGAGTTTCCTGTTCTTTGCAGTTGGAACATCTTAGCTGATCCAAGTATACAAAAATTCCTTCAGCTTACTTTTCCCATCGCCATGAGAATTTTGACTCAAGTACTGCAAACGGTTCCTTTTTGGTGTAATCAGAGAAGAAGCACTGGGGGAAGCAGGAAAGGACAGGGAAATACAGTGACAGGGGGCAATGCCAGTTCCGAAGTGCATCCTGGGAGAGACAGCCCAGCCCGGTGACATGCATTTGGGGGATGGGGAGATAAAACAATGTAAAGGGGGTCCCTGAGACCCCAGAAAGGGAACAAACAATTCTTAAACCATAAAAAAATCTAAAAAGCAGTGACAAAAAAGATAAAAATAATTTTTAAAAAGGGAAAAAGCACTGACATTTGGATATAAAACCAGACACAGAGAGCAGACGCCCTAGCCATCAGACCAGCAGCAAACAAGCAAAGGGAATTACAGCAACAGCCGGGAGGCGGCTTGAGAAAAATCCTAGCAAGCAGATGACGAAAGGAGGTTAACTGCACTCCCCACCAGTACTGACTGGAGGTGCTTCAAGGGCCACTGCTTTGGTTTTGTGTTGATTTGGTTTTAGTTCAGCAAATAAAAAATGTAAGAACTTCCTACTTTCTCTCTTTAGCATACCTTCCCTAACTCAGTTGGCTGTGAATTTTTCTGCCAGTGTGGTGATCAGAAACCAGGCCTGTGCAGCATGAAAGAAGCACTGTTATTTCCGTCATCAGACATTCACTGACTCACAGAAATTTATTGATCTCGTAAACATCCCAGACACCCTGTGTGAGGTCATTTTGGCATTTCATTGAATGCTGCCTGGTGAGTTTCTGTCTCCCCGCACACGTGCCTGTCTTCTCTGAAGGACTTAATCTCCCTAAAGGTAGGCACCATGTCACATATGTTATTTCTTCCATCTATAGTGTTTAGTGTAGTTCTAGGTACATTATAAGCGCTCAAATAAGTTTTACTTAATTATATGTAAAGTAACCCTCATGCTTAAATGAGAGGCACTCTTAGAGGGGCTTAACTCTGATACAGTTGTTTTGTTCCAGGATGGAAGGTGAGATTGAATTAGACTTTTTGCTAAAAGAATGGTTCCCTACTGCTTGCTTCCATACAGTTACAGAAGCTTCCAGAAGTCCTTGTGAGTCAGAACAAGAGTGTATTGTTAGTAGATGACATGCAGGCTGTAGGACTTTCCACCACGCGCTGGGGGCTTGGCTGCTGCCTGCCCCGGGTCTGCGTGGAGTTTGACCTGTGTAACCGCTGGAACCTCAGCAGCAGGCAGAAGCCAAAGGAGTCACTTTCTCCTCTGAAGCCCACAGTCCTGACTCCGGTTACGTGATACATAAATTGCAAGAACTGAGTAAATCTACATCTGTGGATATAAGATCAAATGAAGTCTACAAAAGTCTGAAAGCAAGGAGGGCTGGGCTCACGGGGCAGGGCAGAGTCACGGGGCAGCAGTCGTGGACGTCCCGCTGGGTGACGGAGGTGGCGGCCTACATGTCGTAGAGCCTGAGCTGCTCCTGCACGTCGCCGTCGGACATCTCGCCAAACGTCTCCTTGTTGTCCTTCATGAGCTTGAAGATGGCCGCCAGCTGTTCTTTCTGAACTCTGTCGAGAAGAAAGGATACAGAGGAAAAAGAGGCTCCTAACCCAAGAGCGAGAGAGAGACGCCGTGAGCCTCCAGTGGAGTCGGGGCACCCTCTCCCCCCATGTATTACTGCGTTTGCTTTCCAGAATGTGAAGAAAACGAAACTTGAACAAAACCCACTCAAAATGCAAGAGCTGGTTTGGTCTAAAAAGCTCAACTTGAGGGTTCTAAACACTGGAGTTCTAAGTCTTGGGTTTACCCTGGAGATTTGGGGACCCCAACTTATCACTCGGGTTCTCCTTGTTTCAGTTTCCCCTTGAACCTCCTTTTAATGTCGACCTCACATCTCACAACGAGGCAGTGCGGAAGAAGGTATGTTCCATTGAGTGGCTGGGGGTCCTATGAAGAAATGTGGTAGGAACAGCCTTTGTTGAGAGAGAAGCCCAAAGTGGAGTTAGAAAACACACTACGGGCTGGGAGACTGGGCAGCGTGCAGAGGTGACACACGGGTGCTTGGCCAAGGAGCAAGGGTGGGTGTGTTTTGTTGCCCATAGGAAGGGCCTGTTTCCAATTTACACAGACACCTTATGGCCGGCGGGGGGCCCTGCCCCTGTTCTCAGGGAACACGCCTGGCTGGAGAGAGGCTGGGAGGCTGAGAGCACTTTCCGTTACCTTTATGAGGCTCAGCCATGCCATCTTACCATACAGGACAACTCCCACTAGCGCAAACATGAAAGGGTGGAGTGAAACGGCAGCAAAACCAGGGAACAGTTTGGTTCTTGTTTGTTCCGCTCTGGTGTGCTGTGCTGGCTGGCACCGGTTCACTATTCTGGTTTCCGGCTTCTGCAGTTCCTCCTTCCACACCACACCACACCACACCAGCAGCTTGGGACAGGCCACCTTCAGAGGCCGTCAGCCCATCGGCAGGGTCGGACCTCTCAGCGCCTCCCCGCAGCTGGGTCTGCGATCACCACTGCAGGCCCAGCAGAGCAGGGCTGTGGCACAGCCTCTGGCCAGTGCCCTGCAGGGCACACAGCTGCCTGGGCAGGGGTCGTCCCGATGTCTCGTCTTACATTTATCCTAACATACTCCTTTTGCAAGAACCCCGTATCTCCCATCCAGCAGCTGGTTTTCTGACTCGAGTGGCATCTAGAAGCTCTTTGTAGTGAAGTCCCAAATCGCGGCCTCTCTGTCACCCTGAAAGCTTCTCTGCAGTGGTCTGGAGAAGGAGCCTATGATAAGTACCCTGTACCCTACTGTCCGAAGAAGGGACAGTACTGGGAATTGAAAGGGTGTGTGTTGAACGCCTTGGATGGAATCATAAGCCGGGTGTATGTGTGGGGGCATCCCCCCCAAGTGAACGCCAGCTCTCCCCTGCATTTTGGATGGCTTTGGCACTTGCATATTTCTAACAGGGTGGACACAAGACTCTGTGCTCTGCTGGAGAGTACCAGGCATGAAAATGAGAGAAAGCTCACATTTTAATGGGTCCAAAGGAGATTATTTTTAAAAAACGGAGCAAAACTGAAAAAACACACAGTAATTGAGACCATCTATTCAGAGTTTATTGGGCTGAACAAAGGCTGAACACACATTCCCAAGCCATCAGGAATACAAGAGGCTTGGCGCCCACATTCAGAAAGTTCCAGACAAATTTAGACAACTGACCTGGAGGGAGTCACCTGCTTATTGTGTCAGTAAGATCCCAGCCTGGACAAGGACATCACTATTGCTATGTGGAGACGTGTGTGCTCACTGGAAAACATCTGCTCATCACGTGGGTCTGTGTGGCTTTTGTGTTGTTGCCTGTTACACCCTAAGCCCCTGAACCCAAGGTATTAGGCCCAGAGGAGAAGGTCACTGGGAATGTGACATGCCCTACGGGTTGACATGGGACATTTCCCGGCCTTCCATTAAATGGAACAACATTTTCTAGAAACTTATTGCTTTTAAAAAATGTTTTAACCAACGTATTTAAAAACTGCAGATAGTTTGGCATAGTATAAATATTGTCAAATATAAAATTCTGAGAAATGAATCTGGGACTGACGTGACTATCTGGTGACGTTCTAACTCATCTATGAAACTTCCTAGGAAAAGCCAGTCAAGAAATCTATTTGAAGCGAACACTGTAAGTATTGCTTCAGCCGAAGCAAAGGTGATTTGGCTGAGCTGGTAAGAACATCAGCAAAAAGGCCTCTTAGCAACAAGAGGGCTGGATTCAATCCTCCTCTAAAAGGAAAATAAGGGCTCCGGGAAACCAATGCCAGCCCTGGTTCTTTGCTGCTCGGTCATCAGCTGAGCCGGACAGCAAAAGCGAAGTGGCCCCGAGGCAGAGGAGGGCAGTCAGCCGGCCGTGACCCAGCAGCTCGGCCCCATTCGTCCGTCACACCTCAAAGTCTTTCATGGTTTGGCTTCAGTGAAGGAAAAAGCAGGAGCGATGGAGTGAAACTATGCTGATTTTAAAATGGTGAAGTAACTGACACAGTGGCTATCTCAGGGGCGAAGGGTATGTGGAAGAGAGGGCTGAATGATAAAAATCAATTCGGGGAGTGAGAACAAACTCTTAAAACTCTGCAGCTTCACTAAGCAATCCACCCAAACGGAGGGACACCCCTACACCGGCAGAGCCGAGGGCATCCCCAGCGCCCTCCCAGCCATGGGAAAGTTCCTGCCTGTGGGTCCGGCAGATTTGTGTAGGCAAGGTGCACCCCGCCAGCCTGCAAGGCTGCTCTCTGGGGGTTTCATTGTATCTCTCAAGCTTTTAAGATGCCAAAAGGAAAAGCCTTTAGGAGGAGGCTAAGGGTAACTTCATTATTCTTCGGTTCTGTAAAGAGAAATAGGGAGAAAAGATCATGGATTTTACTCATTCCATCTTACAAGTACCATGGAGAGGAGGGGGATGGGATGAGGAAGAAGGATGTTTGGAATTGCAGATCTCAGACACGCTAGGGGCAGTTTGCCTCTTATCACCTGCAGCAAGATAGTCCGTTCCACAAAGCCGGTGGGGCCCCACACGGGACCCCAACAGCTCGCCAACTCCCATTTCGAGTCTAAGAGGCATTTGGGTAGTTAGGCTGGTCAGGTACCCGGCACTTCCAATCTTTGGCCCCTGTGGCTGACTGGGGTGGTTCTATCGCTCCATTTCTGCTGGCTGGGTTTTGCCCCTCTGGGGACATTGGCAGTTTAGGACACGTGCTCCTCCAGATGAGGTCAGTGGTGTGCCCGCTTTTTCTAAATGACACAGAAGCACATGGACACGCTGAGGGAACGCATGGATCTGATTTTGGCGCCCTCTTCTGGAGGTTAGAGTCAGCACATATTTCTAGAAATTCACAGCGGCTGCCTGTTCATGGACCTGTCAGGCAGCAGAGACTAGGAGACCATCCCAGCCGGCGTTACTCTGCCTCCTCACACCGTTGCCCGTTATGCCACACAAAAACACCTTCCACGAGAGCCGTGTCCTCCCAGAAAAGTCAGGACAGTCCTGCAAACCTTCAGAATGGAGTGGGTGCTGGGTCCTCATCTATCAGAACCAGACTGGTCTGCAACCTGGGTTCTGCCACGCCAGGGTTGGGAAGAGGGAATGGTGCACAGGGAGGCAAGCGGAGGTGGTGCTTGGTCTTTCCTGCCAAACTAGAAGATAGCTTCACTGGCTCTGGGGGTGTGGGGGACATCTTGCTGGGAGGACTGTCCCAGCTACGCTGAGGCTGGATGTGTCACCTCCCAGAGAAGCTGCGGTGGGAACCCAGGGACTGCCCCCAGCCAGGCAGAGGCAATGGCAAGGACACCTGTGAGCCCCAGGCCCCAGGGGAAGGCTCGGAGGAGGAGGGCAGACAGTGACAAAGCAGGTCTTTCTTAAGCAGCAGCCGCCTCTGGGTTTACAAACCTCACCGCTTTCTGCCCCTTGGGCAGGAGGAACTGGATCTGTGAGCAGCTCCAAGGATGGGGATGCCCAATTAAATGTGGGGGAATGAATTTGGGGTCTCTTGCTTTCAGTCCTGCTTCCTAAGGGCCATGCCCTGAACACATTTAAACTGAGGCTTCTGGGTAGTGCTGGACATGTGACCACTAAAGATTTAGACTCTAGATACTGTATGTTGGCTGAGTTCATGAATTACAGTCAGGAACTTGCAGTATTTATTTGTTAACTAGCTGGGAACTTGACTGGGACCCTGAGTGCCAGGAAAGGAATTAGAAACAGGCAGAGTTTGGTTGAAAGAATTTGACAGGCAAAGAAGAGAGCACACTTTTCACTGGCTTGTGGTTTTAGTGGGTTGACAATCATATGCATGTTATTTTTCATACTGATGATTCCAGGGCAGTGTTCTGGACTCAGCTGGCACGAGAACTGCCTTACACCCCGCAGTTCTCCTGGTCCCCCCCAGAACTATCGTGCTGTAGATGAAAAGACAAAGCCAAACTTGCCAACCTCTGCAACCCCAAGCATCACCATGCGAGGAACAGAAGCAACCGCCAGAGGGGTGGGCATCAAGGGGCCCCACGCAGGGGCGCAGGGGCTGACCACATGCAGGGGCAGGAGGGGGCAAGCAGACAGCATGCTGGGGAGGGGCAGTCATGAAAATGAACGTGAACGCCAGCCCCACCCTGTGAGGAACTGTGTTCAAGGGCTGTGAAGTCCGCAAGTCCCTCCTCAACTTGGGGTACACCAGTGATAACCACAGCCTGCAGATGCGGTGTGAACTCCTTCCCCCCACTAGAGCAGCACTTGGGCACAGTCCCAACCCCACAGAACAGGGAAGTGTGAATCGGTGATTAGGGACCCCCAAAGATCCAGTGGGGGGAACCCTCTTAGGCAACACAGAGTCTGCTGTATAACTAGAACGGAGAAAGGACACTCCATCCCCATTCCCGAGGCCCCAGCTCTGAACCCAGTGACAGTGGCAGTCTGACTCCTGGCTTGAGGCCTGGCTCCAGTCCACCAACTGGTCTTCCCTGTTCTAATGGCCCCTCACATCTATCTGAGCACACAGACTAAGGCTGGGGTCTTGGCGATACCCTCTGTCCACAGGGTCCTTGGAGGGACCACAGGTGCGCCAGGCCCTCTCTCCGTAATCCAGGGGCGGCAGCTTTTTCTGTAAGGAGCTGTCTTAGGCTCAACGGGCCACCGCAGTGCGAAAGCCACCGCAGACCAGGGGAAAAGGAGTGCAGCGGTGTTCCACTCGCACTGGACTTACCAGAACAGGGCCGTGTCGGCCAGCGCTCACTCTGATCGTAAAAGTCTGCCTGTCCCACAACTTGGGAACACAGGTTTCTGCCGCGCACTGTTCTCAGCTGCGTCACCTTCTTAGGGGAGGGCTAAAGCTGCCGCGGCGACACCAGGCGCCTTCCCGCAGCCCCTCCCCCTCCTCCCCCTACCCC